ACTGTGTTAAGAGATAGGAGGAAACGCTTGCCTTTCAGGCTAGCTAGGTTTCTCCTAAATTTCTCATCAGTTGATTTACTTGTGTCCTAGACCTCTTCCAGCAGAACTTAGTGTTTGGGGGAAAGCAATAGAGCAAACCACAGCTATAAGGTAGTTTACCTTATTTACACCGGTTTCCATTTGTCTTTGCAGACAGTTCTGCCGCTATATAGAGCGGTAAAGCATTTGTGACTGTCTGGCAGCTTCTGGCTGCGGCTGTGGTTTTAGGGGACCTGGTACCAGTTCTAAAATGCTGCGGCCCCATCGTGCAAAACACTAAATCAGGCCGCTTAAGTTGGATTCAAACTTTGTGCCCATTGCTCGTGTTTATCTGCTCAGCTTTGTGCTGGGTCAGCTGTCTCCTGTCCTCTCAGAGCAGCTGCACAAATCAATATGGAGAGTCTAAAGTATTTTGGCTAACATCTCTATATGGTGGGCCTGGCTCAGTTGGTAGAAATTTGAGATCCAGTTGGAATTTGGAACAGCCCTCATAGTTTTTAGAAAGTTGTTTTGAATTTGGAAAATAAGGAAATACATAGAGCTGTTTCGCTCTTAAAGCTTCTGTGGAAAAAAACCCAAAACACTACCACCAAAAAAACCAAACACAAACCTGCATCGTTCTTACACTTTGGAAAAACAGTAATTGTCAGAGTTGAAAGTCATTGTGACAATCATGGAGGAACCTGAGATCAAGACTAAGCTTCTTCCAAAGGACTAACCTCTCCTTCTGCTTACTGCAACTGTGGGGCAATGAGCTTTATAGTATTGACAATATATCCTGAGCACAGCATTGCTTCCCAGTTCTGGTGCTGCCAGTCTGACAAACTGTTGGCTCTTCAAATGGATGGTTAAAGAAAACAACCACCCCAAATCTGGAGATCAGATTGGTTTTGTTTTCCCCAATGTTTGCTTTGCCAAATTGTGGATTCAGATGTTAAAGGCCCTCAAACATAGCACTGCAGAGATGAATGCCATCACAACAAATCCAAATTTTTTTTTTAATTTGTCCTTTGTAGTTGTTACTGGGTATTCTCAGACTAATACAAAATAGTAGGGAACATTTTTAATGTGGTTGAACCAAGAACTAGATCAAATTATGCTTCTTTTAAAGAAAACAATGCATGCAAGGGAGAAGACACATATATTACAATTGCCTACTCCTTCAATGGGTTTCATGGTCCATTTTTCCTTTCCATGTTAATAAGCTTATATAATATCTGTATATTCTGCTGTGCCCAAGTTAACTCTTGAATCTAGTAAGAGATGGGTTTTCAAATTATTGTTTAGATAGACTTTGCATGCAGTTTGGTACCTTGTGAAATAGAAGCTTTTCATGCAGCCTGTCTTGGAATATGAGCAGATTTCTCTGTAGGAAAACCTTTGTGGTATACTTCAGTGAATGTTTTTATTTGCGGTAGAAGTTCCAGAGTGACTTGCAGGCAGAAACTGCAGGAAGAAAAAGAAAAGTATGTATAATTACAGTCTTGCATTGTACATCTCTATCTCTGAGGGTTTTTATCTTTTTTTTTTTTTTTTTTTTTTGCTTTCACTGGACTTTGAAATGCACTGTAACTTGTTTTAAACAACATAGGAGCTCCCGTGGTAAAATGGAGAACATGGTATTAATAGTCATGAAAATGCAAAGTATAAGAACTACCATGTTTTGTGAAAACAGACACTGCCATAGCTTTGTCCCTTGTCCCGATCTGGAAGAAGATCTGCGTGTCAGAGAACAGGCAAGTGTGCCAAAGATGCAGAGTGGCCTTTCCCCAGCTTGGAGAGTTCTTCTCCCGTGAACTTGCACCTGGACTATTCCCTGCAGTAGGCTGTTTGCCTAGGTACTGATCTTATCTAAAGCATTGTAAACCCATGTCAGCTTTTGGCCTTCCTGGGTTAATCATGTATGAGCACTGAAGATAATTTAGTATAGAAAGACGTGAATGTTAATCCGTATCCTCGCGGAAATTTCGCTTCTAACCTTTCCATTTGATCTGAGGCGGCACATAATTCATTGTATTGTGTGTACCTAGCTGATGTCGAATGAGTTTTATCTCTTTTTACATGACTTTCCAGCTTCTGATCAGTTAGATTTGTTACGGAGGGCTGTATGAGTCACCTTTTTTAACTATGCTCAGTTGGTGGCATAAGAGGTCTGATAAAGAAGAATGATAGCTTTCAGATAACCTGATCTCCTGCTGCCTAAAGATTTCTCTTTCAATTTGACGCTTCTGATTGCAGAATAAAAGTATTCTGAAAATTTATGATTATTGTCTGTGCCATAAAGTGCAAGGTTAATTGCTGAGTAGAAGCAAGAAGAGTTTTCATTGGACTGCCCCCCCAACACACGTATGTGTAGTGTTTGTGTGCACGTATATGTGTGTACCCAAACACACACTCCCTCTCTCTAGAAGTAGCAGATGAGGCTATTTTTGTCTGTTAATTTGGAGTCACTTCTTCATCATCATCTGGGAACCCTTGTCCAAACAGTGATTCTAGCTGTTGTGTTTCAGCTTTCAGGAATTAATGCAAGGCACAGCTTATTTGTGTGCTCTCCTGATGTAATTCTCAAGAACAATTCCCAAGGAATGATTACATCTTCTTTGAGAAGATAGCAGTCTTACTGTTTTGCAATGTGAAGTAAAATAGGATTATATGGTCTTTCCTTTTACATCAGTGGAGATGCTAGTTAATGCTGACTAAGAAGCTTATCATGCCAGAATACCCTAAACCAGATCTCCTGAATGGCAGGTTTCCTGCGGTGTAACTCTTACACTGGTGTTTTGTTGGCATGGCTGCATTTCTTAGGGAGGTGTAACTCTGCCCCTTCCCTTTTCCATTCCGATCTGAGATGATAAAGCTGCCAGAGTAAACTACGCCTGTCTCCATCACTGATTTTCTTGGAGAATAAAATATGTCTATATTGACAGAAAAAGGCAAATCCTTTCCTTTTTTCTTTTTTTTTGTGTGTGTGCACTTAAAAAAAATCCCTCATGCCTCTACAGTAAAAGCAGACAAAACCCCTCAAAAAACACCCCACTGCCCCCAAAGGGTTAACTAGTATCTATCTCTTCCTCCTCTCTAACCTGTTCACATCACCTCAGACCTGCATAGGCAGCTTTGAGACAAACATTCTTACCAAGGTTTGAGGAGGCATCACCAGTTAGCTGTGCACAAACTCAGAAGCAGACAAACTAATTTAAAGCTGCTGTTCGTGTCGGGAGATTTGCACTTTTGAAGGTGAAGCCTGTGGTGGTTGTCAAAATGGGAATGCTTTTTTTTTTTTCCCCCAGAATGGCAGGATGGTGAGTACACGAACTAGTCTTCTGCTTTAATCTTAAGTTCAAGTGAGAAATAATTAATTATGTTATCTTAGTATTTACTTCAAGAAACAAGTCTTAATTAAACCCTTTTTTGAAGGCACTGCTTTCCCTTCCATTTGGATTTAATGAGGAGTGCTTCAAGAGTATTTCAGTGCCCAAGTAGTATTTCTTATGTACATATATTTTCTCTCTTGAAAAGTTACATCGCTTTGAAAGATTTAATATCTCTTTCGCCTAAAATAACCAGAAGTTTCTAGCAAATGGGCAATTAACAGCTATTAAGAGGTTCTAAAATATTAGTACTCTGTCATTTTTCAAACAGTCCTAAATTGCCCCTAGCAGAAGGGTCTTTGTCAAGTTTCATTATTGCAATTAAAGCAGACATTCAAGCTGCTGGCATTTTCCTGAGCAGCATTTTGGAAGGGAGACTTAAGAAAAAACCTAAACCCTACTTTTTTGCTTTCTAACATATATGTAACTGTGTTTTTTGAATATCTATTAGCAGCATTTCCACCTGTAGCAATTAAGCTAAAAATGTCATGAACTTGCTTTTGAAGTACTGCCAGTGTACAGTGGGTTTTGCTGCTTGAATGTGTTCCTGGTTTTGCAGAAAATTTCACTTGATAGGATTTTGAAAAGGCCATTTTTCAGGTTCTATCATGTACTGTCATCTGTAGCTTAGCTTGGTTCATCGTGGCTGTCTGCAGCTGCGCTTTCTTTTTTGAAGCTCAGTAATCACAGGTTGCAAAACTTAGTTCGTTGCAGAATTTTCTATACTGTCCTGTGGGAAGTTTAGGTACAAATCTGTTAATTCATGTTCCTTAATCCTGGAAATGGCAGAATTGTGAATGACCATGGACTGGCAGGTCTAATTTAAGGAGCAAATGTGGGAAAACTATACTGTAGTGACCCATCTGGGAAAATAAGAGAGAACCACTAAGCTGTACGATCTTTCCTGTTCCTGGGCCAAAACAGTAGTGATACTAATTAAAATGCACAGCTCTATCCTGAAGCCGTTGCTTCAGCATCATCAGGCAGATTACTATGAATGTCTCGTGCGCAACTGGGATAATTTCGGGTAAGGGTGTTTGGCAGAAAGGGCTGTTTCTGTCTGAAATAGGCTCACTGGAAGTCAGGTGTGCTTCACTGTCCCTTTAGTCTAAGCTTTCTGGATGCTTTTTACTTAAAAATAAGTTGTTTTAAAAGGAAGGATTTAGTTATATGGAGGTGAACTTGTGAGTAGGTCTACAAATTTGAAGTAACACAAGTATTATTTGCAATGGATGTTCCATAGCATCGCTGCGTAGCTGGAGTACAGGTATACTTTGTTCCCAAAGAGGTCTATGGAAATCACTGTGAAGTGGAAACAAAGCCAGAATTTAAATATACTGCTGATAATTGAGGACCACAGGAGAACAGTGAGAGAATAATCACAGTATTCCCATCCTGAAAGAATTTAAAATGCCATCAGCTTTATCTTTAAATGATAATCTGCTAATTATCAAATCAAAAAGGAATGATAAGAGTTGGTGAGTCATGAGCATGAAGGGGAACGAAGGCTGCGGAGCATGTGTGTTTGTACATATATCTTGGATAATCAAGAAAAAATAAATTGGTCTCTTCGTTTCTAGGTGCCGTTGATGCTAACGATACTTAAAAAAGCAACCCTAATGTTCCAGCTGGATTACTGAGCAGTTTTGTGATTCCTGGAGGTGCTGCGGTTTAAATTAGAAATTGTCCTTAGTACCTGGCCCATCATCCCAGAAGCTTCCTTTGGGGTACTGTATGCAAGTCCTTGACATTCTGGAAACAATGGGGATTGGTAAGAATACCACTTCGAAATCAGTGGAGGCGGGAGGCTCAACAGAAGGCAAATACGAGGATGAATCTAAACATCCCACCTTTTTCACCCTGCCTGTAAGTAACACATTCAGGTACTACATAGTTAAGAATCAGTTAATAATGCTTTGTTCTAATCATGTTGTACAAAACCTTTATTTCCACAAGTAGCTAGTAAAACCTCTTTTGCCACTTGTTAATGTTTATATATAAACATGGCCAATTATGTTGTCTGTAGTTATTTCACGATTATGTTGTCTGTAGTTATTTCACATGCGCACGCCAAAGCCGTGCTGTTCACAGGACATTCAATACCCCAGGCAGTTCATGATTAGAACAATTAACTATCCTACTGTAGAATGCATCAATCCCCGGTGAGCCTTGAGTTGCCTGACTAAGAGTAGCAGGCAACAGCAAGGAAACATTTGCTTGTTGTCTTTTACTTATTCAGATTTTCAGTTACATCACTCTCTTGTACATGTCTGCCTCTTAAGAACTCTTCCAGTCAGTCTACTGCTGGTTTCCCCCCACCCTCAGTTGACACCACCCAGGCTTTGAGGAGCTATATGTGATGTCTTTCAAGTTTCTGTGTATTCCTGGACATGCTGTTATAGAAATGATTGCTTGCCATGCTTGTAACGCTTTCTGACAAAATGTCAAAGGCAAATGTCAAGTACCAAGGGAGAAAACTGAGTGACACGAGGTATGATTGCAGAGAAAATGTTTATTTTAAGACCTTGTGTTTCTTTTTTTGTTTTATTTTTAAGGTCGTGATAAATGGTGGAGCAACATCCAGCGGTGATCAGGATACAGAAGACACAGAGTTGATGGCCATCTATACTACAGAAAATGGCATAGCAGAAAAGGTATGTAGTGGTTTCCTTCTAGGTGAGAACTCATTCTTGCTTTTTCAGGTCTATTATTTCTCCACACTAGTTTTACTTGGTTGAGAGACTTTATTTCTCTGATCAAGCATGCTGACTTGCAGATTCAGATCTGGCTTGGGGGAGTTCTGTCCTCATGACTCTTCTGGTCACACATTTTGGTTGCAGAACATGGGGAATGACTCAGCAAATGTTAGAAGCAGTTATGCACTTTGACCTGGCACCAAAATTCATAGTATGCAGTTTTTTGATTTCTTCATTTCCATTGGCCTTTTGCATGGTTTCCCTGATAAAGGTCATTCTGTTCGGTTCTTCAGTTCCTCACTTTTTCTGCGTTTAGTCAAGTAAACTGGTGGTGTTGAACAGCTTCAAAAGTGGGATCTCTCCCACTCTCTTCCCCAATTTCTTCGACGATCCAACCTCATAAACTTAATTTTTCTAATCCTTCTTTCAAGTAAGGTGCTCCTTATTATTTAGCAGCAGCTTTGCGAACAAAGTCCAGGTCTTTCATAAAAACCCTTGAACTTTTTTCCTTAGGATAACGACAATTGTATCTTAGCTATTCAGAAAGATCCAGTTGAGGCCTCAAAGGAGACCAATTTACTTGTGATTTTTTTGAGCTTTTTCTCTCAATTCCATCATTCCTCAAGCCTATTCAATAATAATCTTGCAAGAAGAGACAGTGTGAATCTGAGCTTTTGTTAAAAATAAGGTAGAGGATTACAGTAAATCTGAACACCTTTTCCTGAAATGTTTATATCTAAATGGCTTTGTGGTTAAGCCTTATCTCTGAAAGCCTCAACCTGACCAAATTTTTCAAATGTCCTAATTGAAATAAGAATAAAATTCTCTTGGTTCCAAGCAAGAGCATCATCGATGCTCATTTCTTTGAGGCTGTAACCTCTGTTGGGGCAAGGATGATATCAAAGATTGTAGTTAAGGTTTGACATCAAAACTCACTTCTGAATTTCAGATTTTAAATGTACTCTAAATAGGTGATTCTGACAGAGGTCTTGTAGCATTACATTTTAGAAGAATGTTATGAATGGCACGATATGCCTTTGTATACTCTGTCTCTTACGGATAGTATGTCTTGAATACATCTGTACTACCATCTTGATGCTGATGTTTTAATGGACAAATTTTGGCAACTGTTGACATGCATATGTTTGTGATGGCTGATTTTTGGAGCATGCTCAGACTAGTGTGGAGAGAGACAATCTGATAAAAGCCTTGAGCAAAAGGTGTTTGGATGAAATTGTGCAACTAAGATTAGCGATCTCTAGACATTAAAGAGTGTCTTCATGGCCTGTTTTTACCAAACGAATATTTTTCTCCCTTCCACTTGATCCATGTGATCAAACTGTAAATGATGGATGATAATTCACCTTAAAGAGACCGTGAGATTTTAATCAACCAAATGTGCTTGAGTTAAAGCTTTGCTGTGGGTAACAATGAATGAACAGTGAAAAGAGGGGCTGTAGCAATTAACAGCCTCATGTATTAAGATAGTATTTGAGGCTAGTATTTCTGGTAATCTGGGCAAACCTCCTTTTCACTCACAACAAGTGTGTACATGAAGCATGTTTGTTCTTGGCTTTCCATTCATCTTGAGAGATCACTCACCAAAAAAGCAAATGAAAGACCTTGAATAAAAAGCCTTTAACAAGGAGGACTAAAACAGACTTAATTGCTGGAGGATGCCAAATGCTTACATTGTCTTGCGATATTTGTTAGCTGAAACAATAAACTATTAGCCCAGGTGAGAAATAACTGTATTGCTGCATCCCTATAAACTAAACAATACTATGTTGATTATTGCTTAATAGAATTAATTTGAATGTGGTGTTGGCTCTTTATTTAAGGTATTTCTTTATTTAAGGTCTTGTTGCCCACGGTTAATCAGTTTTCTTTTGGCCCTTCCCACTAGCACTTGATAACAGAGCCTTTGTCTTGCACTGTTGTTGGTGTTTGCTTCTTTGGATTTTGGGGTGGGCTTGGTGTCTGTCCATTCCCCCGTCGTGCCCGCCCCCCCCAACATTTTTGCTCCATCTTTATCTCTGTCTCATTTTTCCCCCTTTTTTTAATACTTATTCTGTGCTTTTTTTCTTTTTTTTTGTTGTCCCACCTTTAGCCAATTAAAAATAAACTAAAAGAAAGAATTAGTCTCTGATTGGTATCTCATTGAAAAAGGTGCAGTTCATTCCCAGCAGTTCCCTACAGCATACTGTGGCATACTTGGCAAGCACCTGCACGTAGTCGGTATATTAAACCAGCAGGCACACGCACACGCACGAGGTATGAAAGGGCCAGTGACTACTCAGTGACCTATCAGTGGGATAGCCGGACCTCACCCTCGTTCTCAAATTCCTCATTGTTCAGTTTTGGTCTCTTTAATGTCAGTTCACTTTAGCCATTATCTGCTAAAGGTTTGATCAAGGTGAAAACTTCCTCTTCCAAAGAAGAGTAAGTCTGGTTTTTGGAAGGGATGAGATACATGCCGGATTCTTTTTATCTGACCACTTTGCTGTGTAGGACAGACATAGCTATGACAATTATGCCTTGAAGTTTTTGAAATTCTTGTGTTAGAAGACCTATAAACTTCACGTTTTAAAGGATAGCTTAAGTTGGTTAGCAGTTCTTGATCTGTTCCCAAAGAGAGCTTTCTACGTGCCATGGACAAGTTGACTTGTTCCTAGGCCTGGTGCCTGCTGATCTTTGTTCTTTGCAGACAAATGTAAGCATAAATGTAATCACAAATAAAAAGCTCAAAGGACTAATAAACTTACTGCATGTGCCATGGTCTTCCTGCTAGAAACAGGTCATAATTTCTGATTGCTGCTGCCCAAAGAAGAGGGGGAATATATGGAATGGAATGGAATGACAGGTGGAAAAGTTAAGGAATGTACTTGATGCAACTTGATCAGTCCTATGAAGAACTAGTGTTCGGCACTAAGTGGAAGAGTTAGGTAGCTACTGAATATTGGTCTGGCAAAGTTAGAAAAGCTAGAAAAGAGGCCAAAAGATGGGTTTTCCAAAGGCAGGGGCCAAAACAGAGTCACCAGTCTGCACAAATCACTCGCTGGTTTTTTAGAGAACCTGGTATCCTGCATGGGAACATCATGAACTTTGAAAATACCATTTCTGTCCGTCCTTGGAAGGAGTAATGCAGGTTGCTCAGTGCACAGTGGTAGGTGTTTTATCTTTTCCCACTGCAGTTGGGTGGGGAACTATCCACAGTTTGTTCTCCTAAATCTGTGCTGCTATTTGGGTGGCTTCAGCAAGCCAATGTTGACATGATTCATGAAGCAAACAGTTAATTTCTGCTGATAACTCTCTGTTCCTACCTCAAGAGCAGAATGTTGTAACCATTCTTACTCTTCCTTCATGACCTCTGTTTCTCTGAAAGTGTATGATGACCTATTAGTCAAAATGTTGAACAAACAGACAGTATCACTGGTGAGCAAAGTTCTCAGGTGGAGTGTATGTTGCAGAGGAGACGTGAGGCAATCGTACACACGCATATATTTTTATATATATATGTGTGTGTGTGTGTTTGTATAGTCTCTGGGGAAAGGTTAACAGAACTGCTTTATAACAATAGAAAGTTATCACAGGAGGTTCTCTGGGTCAATCTTTGGTTTCCTGAGAAAGTTCTTGGAAGAAGCCTCTAGTGATAGTAAATGTCCTGCTGTGTGTCCATAACTACGTCGGCTGTTGAGTCTTCCTCCTTCTGCCTGTCTTTGTGGGTCAGCCACTTTGTGCCCTGCCTTGGATCTACGCATAATTGCATTGACATGAGGATGTACACATTTTTTCTTACGTTCCAGTTAGAGACAAGATGTGTACAGGTTTACTGCTGCTCAGTGCTCTCCTTCCAGTATAAGGTGAAACTCTTAAAACTCAAGTTCCTGATGTTTTTGTTTGTTGTTTTTTAGAGAATGGGATCAGGAGAGTGGTCTTTCATTTTTCAGTCAATGAAAAAAATTACATAGGTGCTGCAAATTGGCAAGATGAGTTGTGCAGTGAACAATTTCCCTTACTCCTCTTTTTAGGACCTGCACCTTATTTAAGCTAATCCTGGTGAGCAGATTGCTCGGTGCTTAACGTTGTTTAAAAGAGTCTTCTGAAATTAGTGTTTCTGTATTGTGCTTTTCCGTTGTAATATTCTCGACCTTTCCACAGCAGTGCGCTCACTTACACTCCCTGAATTTGAATTAACTCAGTGGCATTTGTTCTCCCAACAGAAATCAGAGGTAAGAAGGAAGTACCATGGGTCAGTTTGGCTTCCCTGACCTTGTAGATGATAAACTGAATGGAGATTATCTAAGCATAATCTGTGGATGTGTTGTGGGTTTTTTTTGTTGTTTTTTTTTTTTTTTTATTAAGAAGTAAAGACCATTTGAGGTAAAGTCACGAGTCTGGCAAAGTTCCCAGTCTTTGTGTAAGGCTACTTCACGTGAGTCTGTTATGTTCTCGTGTGGATTAGGTCAGAACGGTAGTTATATAAGGTATTTTTTGGATAGTTGAGCTGAAATGATAAAATCTGATACTTCCTCCTGCTTTTGTTGTTGGTATTTGGGCTTTGGAGCATTGTGTTTTTTGTTCTCTGGTGTTTCAAAACCAGAGAGTTTGAATGAAACGATTCTACTTAGTTGTAAAGAAGAAATGATTGATCTGAATCTTGTTTTAATGGAAAACCTGCAGGATTTGGATGCGTGTATGTGTGTGGTCAGTTGTCCATTAGCTCCCTGCAAATTAGGGCACATGGTAGGCCAGAATGTGGTCTCGCTTAAATTCCTGTAGGTTGGGAGGCTGTCCGCTTGACTAACGTAAATTGGCCGTGGTTGTATTCGGTTATAATGATTAGCATTTTTCCTGACTGCTTGAATGTGGGGTGGAAGCAAAAATAATAAATCTTGTGGCTATAAAAGGTTAACCAAGACTGAAGTTGAGTAAGAATTAAGCGGAGAAGCAATTACCATAATGAGGAACTTTCTTTCCTGTGATTTTGGTCTCTTATGCAAGGATAGCCGTTCTGCTGTGAAAATAGCCACTGTTGACTCACCTACTTAGTTCCAAATTTTTTTTTTTTTTTTTAAATAAACAGTACTATCATGATAATCCCATTTTTTGGGTGCCTTTTTTGGCTGCCAGATCAGTTATATCATAAACGAACAATTGTTGTGTTAGTATAAATAATCAGGGAATGGCTTATAGAAGTGAGTGTGTTTGATGCAAGTTCAGTAGCTACAGCTGGCCATGAGCTTGTCGGAGGTAAAAGGCTTTAAAAATGTAACATATCAGCATCGCTTGGGAGTATTTTACCAGCCTTGGAGTATCTAGGAATTGCTGATAGTTCAAATTCAGCTTATTCATATGTAACAGTAACCTACTGTTGTTGTTTGTGTCCTCCCCCACTTTTTTGCCCTCCCCACCTTTCTACCCTCCCGGTCAAAATAGAGCTCTTTGGCAGAGACGCTGGACAGCAGTGGCAGTTTAGACGCACAGAGAACTGATATGATTTACACTATCGAAGACGTTCCTCCTTGGTATCTCTGCATATTTTTGGGGTTACAGGTATGTTTCAAAACAGCTATGCTACTTTTCTCTGTGACTTTTGAAACTCGTGTAGCATTTTCTGTGTAGTTGATTGCATTTGTGTACGTGATAGCGTTATTCTCCCCATGCTCTCACATATTTGAAGGAAGTGTTAAGATAGTTTCTTCTGAAGTAGATCACAAAGATTACTGTGTTGATAATGATCTATAGCATTGTTTCCTGGCATATGCATTAGTGAGATGCACTTCAGTATTTAGTCTCTTAAGCTGCTGTTAGTAAATAAGTGGTAAGCTTCAGAAAGTGACATCTGGCACCTCTGAAATTAAAGATGGAAAGAGATAATGGTTTAGTGCTGAAATCGTGGATATTAAAGCTGCTACTGTAGCCATTTCAATTCTGCAAGCTTGACAGCATCATCCTGGACCTGTAGGCTCGCTAGTAAGCGCGGCAGGCAAATTCTGCACTCCTTGGAGTGAGAGTGTGTGCTTCCTGCAATGAGTAGGACTGTAGTGGTGAGCTGGACCCTACTACCGGCTCAGCCACTCACTTGTGTGAAGCAGAACAGCTTGTTTCATCTCCTTTCTTTCTCAAATGATAATAATATCTGTCCCACAGGAATGCTGAGAATTTGTTAATATCTGTAAAGCATGTTGAGATCTCCAAACAAATACATTCCAAAGCATCCTTTTTATTTCTGCCTTTCCTCAAGGACAGGCAGTTCTGTAGGGATTATATTTTTATTTGCATTGTTGAATATGGTGACTTGTTTGTTTGTTTGCTGAATGTATTTGGATTGGAAAAAGAATTAATGAATACCTGGTTTCTGGTACTTGGGAGCTTATTTGCAGCCTAGTTTGTGTGTACTCTTGAGCTCATTTGTAAGCTAATGGTTTTTCACATGGTTGAAAGTGAATGGAATTACTTATCTGCTTTTCTGAGTTCGAAGCTGTTTTCAGCACAGTTACCTAGACACCTCCTCATCAAGAGCAGCAGCCAGGTAGCTATGTAAATAACCTAATTTATCCTATAGAAACAGCGATCGTTAGCAACAGGCTAGTGGGAGCTTGGCATGGAAGGAAAAAATTTGAAGAAATGCGTAGGACCAGGAAGTGAGAGCTTTGGTGGATAATTCAAAAGCCAAAAATATCCAATGCAGAGAAAAGAGGGTCATAAATGTATTTACTTATTAATATTGGCTGTAGTATTAACAAACCCATTTTTCTCTTCACAGCATTACTTAACATGTTTCAGTGGAACTATAGCAGTGCCCTTTTTGCTAGCTGATGCCATGTGTGTTGGATTTGACCAGTGGGCTACCAGTCAGTTGATTGGGACCATTTTCTTCTGCGTGGGCATCACTACATTGTTACAAACGACTTTTGGGTGCAGGTGAGATTCAGGATTTGTTTCTAGTTGTTGAGATGGTGGTAAGAGTAGACATTTGTTGGCATTTCTAGGATGTGGTCTGAGATCCAAGAGGTAGTTAGTATATTTTCAGAGGGTAATCATGAAACACAAGATAGCAGGTCAAATACGGGGCAGTTAGGGAAAGCTTTTGGAAAGCTGTGCCCAAAAAAAGGTGGATCTGAAATCAGAGAAGGCATTCCAAGGCTAAGAAAATACAGCAGGAACAGGGAGAGGCAAGAGGGAGGAGGGAAATCCATGAAGACAGAAAAGGTAGAAGTGTTTCTGGGGGAAAGCAGAAGTTCATACACCTTGGTAAAGAGGAACTGATTTTGCTATTTTTATTAGTTTCTTGAATGATAAGGTGTTCTTGCCAATATTTTGGGTAGTTGTGATTAGTTCTACAGTAAATTGTGTGCTTGTTCCCATAAAGGCCTTGCAAATTAAAAAAGTAGGGAAAAACGATGAGGGTAACTTTTTATTCTATGAACTGAGTGTCTCTTACCTTCCAATGCAAACAAATAATTTGTTTTTCTTTGTTAGTTGCTCTGAGTTGCAGGTAATGATCCTACCTTGAGTTGGGAAGAAATACATATGTTAGTGTAGCCTTACAGGGATGCCTGTACCTCTCCTTTGGTGTGCTCTTTTTGGGAGGATGCAAGCGACCACTTCAAGTGGTAGCAAATACTTGTAAAATTCTGGTGTTGGTAAGAACAGGATGTTGTTTTATTAACGTGAAGATAAAGCTTTTTTAAAAATGTGTGTTCTACAGTAAACACTGCAAAGAGATGTTTGACACGTTTGCTTGAACTTCTGTTGACTCTGCCTGTGAGAACTGGGAATAGCTAAAACTTGCAGAGTTAATTCTTCATCTTCTTTAATAAACCAAGAGTGATAAGTAAAACCAGAAGAGTGCATATTTTAAGAGTATGCCCTCGTATGGGTACTTGAATGATTCATGGGTCATTTAGTTCAATTTAAGAACAATGTGAGCTGAAGTCTTGCATTCCAATAGAAAATGGACAAACACCCCCACATTTTTAGAGAGTTATCTAAAGAAACAGAATCTTTGGGTTGAAAAATTATCTCAATAGGGTGCAGAAGGCAAGCCTATGGGGAATCACTGGCAGCTGTAGATCAGCTTTTCATCTAAAAAATTTCCAAATATTTCTGGTTTTCCAATGTAATCTTTAGCTGCTATTTTAGTTAGCTTTCTTGTCTTTTTCCCCTTGAAAAGGCCTTCCCTTTATTTTTTATTATGTCTTACTAAACTTATAAAATCGATCCACTGTTTTTCATGAAAAGTTCATTCTGATGACAAAGCAGCATAATGCAAATTGTTGAGAGAGAAAATTCTCTTTCCCCAATGTATTTTCTTTTTGTCAAGGCTACCTGCAGTTAATAATCATATTTTCTGCCTCATTGGTTCTTTGTGCTCGTAGGGTAGCTTGCCTTAGCTGTAATCATAAATTTTCAAGTACCTCATTTGAAAGGAGGCAGAGGAGCAGAGTTGTGCCCTTTGGTGTATTGAACCTCTCTTTAATGGGAGTGATCTATTTTTTTTTACCCATCTTCTATTTGTGTTTTATATAAGGAATTGAGGGATTGTTGACCTAGGCGGGAGCTGGAAGATAAGGTCTCTTACTGTTCAGTGTCTCCTCCCTGGGTTTACTGAAGTTTAAAATCTTCCAGTTTTGTAAGAAGTGCAGAGTTGTAGATGGAGATGAACTCAAAGGGGAGCTTGGTTTTCCTGTGCTTCTACCAACTTTCTTCGTCTGTCTCAAATGTATCAGAAAAAGCTTAATTTTTATGCTTCCTGAGACTTGTATCTCTTCACAGAACTGAAGTTTGACATACTTTCATTTTTTCCCTAACTAATCTTGGGCTTTTTCTCTTTATTACTTACTATAGAGTAATTTGGGGCTGTTGCAGAAACCAGTTGGAAATGCTCTGTTCCTTCTGTATAATCCCACCTCTGCCCTCCGTGGTGGTTTTTTATGCTTTTCAGTGGCTTCCACTTGCACGTGTTCATACACTGAAGAGGCAATTGTGTTTGGGTCTTAAAATAAGTGAACTTGTATTTAAGGGGAAAATTTCTGTGGTTGAATGTTTTATAACTATTTAACATGTGATTTTGGTTTTATGTAAGGGTGGGAATGGGATATAGCAGTGATGTTCTCTAAATGAGTTTTTAAAGTATTTATTGGCAAGTCTGTCAACTGTAAAGTATTTCAGCAAATAAAGCCACTACGGTTTGAAAAGGTCAAGTTCCATGGTTTAAAGGTCCTTAAAGATGGATTTAGCTCAATTATGAGGCGGAGTTGTGGTCAATTTGGTACCCATACTGATTTTAGGAATTCAAGCTATTTATTAGATTATGTAATAAGCCAAAAGATTTGGCAAGGATTCAGAGTAATTAGTATGACTGAGACAATCAAATACAGCTTTAATGTAACTAAACATTTCAGGTTTGTTGCTGTGCCCATCGCTACCTTGCCTAAGCATTCTTACAACTGTGTGAAATGTTAAGATAATGAAGACATTTCCAGATGACTTTAACTGCATAAAAAGCTCCATTTTCGCAAGGGCTGGTGCCAAAATGGAGCATCTTCACAATTTAGACATGAAATTAAAACATTTTCCCAATTGTAAGCTGGTGGTACCTTACCCGTCCAGTAATGAAGGCCTGGCTTAGCAATGGGAAGGGTATTTCGTAAGTCATGTTCCAACGGCAGCTGTCTCTTCAGAAAGAGACTGATCTTGGTTGGCTGATTTTGAGTAGTAAGTTTAAAAAAAAAACACACACACAAACAAACCACACACACTGTATTTTCTTGCTTGGAAAAAAAACCCCACAACAATATTTTGAGCCTACCAGCCCTTTTGGTAAATGAATATTATTTACATATGATAGGTTAACTGTCTCATATAAAGGTTGAGCAGATAGCTAAGTAAGATGTGCTGTCACTATTCAATATGTATGCAGGGTATTTATATGATACAAAACTCACAGTCTAGACCTAAGCCTCAGCACAACTGACTTCATCACTGGAGAATGTGTTTGCAATGTATAATTTACAAAATCGCTAGTTGGGAGGGTGGACAGAGTACTGTGTAGGTGGGATAGAGGAGTAACAGCTTGTTACAGCTATTGCATATTTTGCCATGGGCACCAGCTTGCTCAGTTTGCTTAATGAACCTTAAAAATAAGGTGAATCATTCACTCATAGCTACCAACCGATTCTTCACCAAAGATAAAGCTTTGATTTTTGCTTGAAGAAACTTAGAAGGGAATTGCATTCCAGTCAGGTGTGCTCAGGTGGCTCGTGTATTTATGAAGTTTGACTTTCTAATGCAGTTGGCAACCTTTGTGGTAGGTGGGTCAGCTTTTCAGCTTGCTCGTGGCCCAAACTCCTTTCCAATGGTAGTTCAACTGTTCTAACTTCTTTATAACTACTGTTAGTTACCTGCTTCTGGTTTGATTTTTTTTTTCCCTCTGTGTGTGTGTGTGTGTCAAGTGTCTATAGGACTTTTTCTGCCACAGATTTTTTTCCCCCACTTTGTGCCGTTTCTGATATTTATCTGAGTCTGCTACGGTTAGTTCTTTTTCCTTTACTGGTGTTTGCACTGGCATCGAGGCACTTCATTGTGGCTGTAAAACAGCCATAAACACCGTGCAGTAACTAGAGCTGCATGAGCAATTAAGCGTTCCACATGTTACAGTTTGAGATCTGCTATTAAATAGAATCTTATTACAATCCATTAATGACAATATTTATAGAATAGTTCAAAGTGCATCTTCTCTGTAGTTAAGTAACATCTGAATATTTGTAATGTTATGTGATCTACGGTTGATTCAATAAATACATAGTTGGTGCTGGTAGATGCTCTTTAGATCTTAAACCTTTTGGGAAGTGTAAACACCAATGCTAAGAATGTCATCTTGAAATTCTTGCAGCATTTGTATTTATTGTTGGTAGCCACCTGGAACATCTAATCAGCTCTTATCAACCTAATAGTTATTTACACATACCCTTAAAGATGAATGTATAAATGACTGTACCTCAAGTCATGCAGAGGGAAGGTATTGAGTATGCAGACTGCATACAGCTCTGTGAAAGAGCTTTTTTAATGTGGCGGGACTGTAAAAGCTGCATGTTCAGCAGTCTGGCTGGTACTTGCATCAGAACGTGCATGTGTATCCTTGTGCTGCTGAGTCAAAACCTTAAATCAATGTCCTGTACCTGTGTGCTGATATCCCGTAACTATCTGTTATAGGTATTGTATTAAATAACTTCATGCATGTAGTGTCTTCTGTTAGGCCTTTGGTTTGTGAAGTCTTAGTATTTCTATAGCTGTTCTTTATAATAAGAAATTCACATATTTCACATTTTCAATAACCCCCAATAAAGGATGGTTTTGGGGATGAGTAACCACCTAACTGCAATTGATATCCTGACACAGTACCGTAACACCGAGAAATGTCAGCATCTCTTCTTTCCCTTCCCACCAGGTTACCCTTGTTTCAAGCGAGTGCTTTTGCATTCTTAGCACCTGCTAGAGCAATACTCTCCCTGGAGAAGTGGAAATGTAATAATACAGGTAATTGTCGCTTATGCTTGTTCAGGTTTAAGTGACAAATGACCCAGATCACATACGGTGCAACTGCCAAACCTTCTGATACGGAAACTGCAAGCAGTGAGCAGGGAATATGAAAAATTCTCTCCTTTTACAACGTTAAAACTTTGTGCCTTGGAAAAAGATTTCTCAAAAGGCCTTTGTGGAATTCTGTTTCTGGTTGGGTTTTTTTAATATAAAAAAAGTTGACAGAAGAAATCCTAACAGTAGCATGAAACAGTTATTCTGTTAGCAATGTAGAGAAAGGCAGAAGGATTCCATAAATACTCCTTTCCAGTTTTTGGAAATAGTGAGTCCAATAAAGAGTCCTTTAAAGTCGACTAGTAGTAAGTTCGAGCAATGTTCAGTATCACCTCAAGACCAGTATTTTTTATCAGTTTAACTCATACCTGACAGGTTTTGCAGAGCAAGCTTTGATAATATTTGGATGTTCATTTTAACTTTTCGTTTGCTAGCCTTATCATCTTGAAAGGTTTTAAAATTATTTAGAGTGAAAATGTGCAGTAAAACTGGTTGGATAGGGGACTTTTGCTTTAACTTGGGTTAGAAAACTGAAGTGAAAACAACTCTGGCAGTTTTATTTTTAGTGGGGTGTGGTTACTCAGTAGTAAGGCTGTGAGCAGTGTAAGACAGCAGTATAGAGAAGCAGGCTGCTTGCTTTTACCTAAAGTTCTTCCTTGGGGTCCTTTGGATTCTCCAATAATTTGTATTTATATTATTTATGTGTTTATATATCTCTCTCAATTCACTTACAACCATCTAATTAGTTTTCCTGATGTTTTTTATGTAGAAAACCTAGCTTTGAGCATTCACATTTTTGCACTGGGGGAGTTAGATTTAGCTACTGGGAAATGGCACGTGGGTTTCAGTGCCCAAGATTTAAAGGCAAACTATGGTGTGCTTTAGTAGTGCTAGCTAGTAGTATATCGGATATTTCTGTTCGCCAAATTTTGCCAGTATCCTAATACACGCCTTGGTGAAAGAAAATACTCTCTGATAACCTTTGATGGCAAAGCAATTTTTCCACTACTTCAGCTTTTCAGAAAGAGCCTTTGCTGCATCTTGCTTTTGAACCTTTTAACCCTCAAAAGGCGTCAGATAGGGTTGTAACCACAGGTCAATTCATCATGCAGTGAATGACCTAAATTGGTGAACAACAAACATTGGAGTACTTGGTTCGTAGTGTGCAGCTGAGTAACCTCTCCATTCATTTGTTTGTTGGAGTGGGAAAAGAATCCCTACTTAACCTTTCTTTCTGGAAGTTATGATTTTTTTCCACTTTGGTACAGTGGGTAAAATTAGTGGTTAGCTCTTGGGGAATGTAAGCATGTTATTACTTGATTTGTAGCACTGCAGAACTTTTATTCTGTGTAAATCAAAGCTCATTTGTGAGACACGGCTTTAAGGAGAGGTTTATTTTGTATTAAATGATGGCAAAGTGACTGAGGAATAAATACCTGTGTTTTTTTCTTTTCTTCTTTTTCTAAGATATAACAGTTACAAACGGAACAACAGAACTGCTTCACACTGAGCACATCTGGTATCCCAGAATACGAGAGGTAATGCAGGAGTAGCCTTTAGCTGTTGATCTGTCCAATTCCAGTTAAGTTTCTCACCTTACCATCTCCGTGTTCTTCTCTTTAAGTTGGTAATTTCTTCTTTCACTGCGATTTCATTTGAATATATCCCTTTACTCATTTCATGGAAGTCCTCATCTTTTCAACTTGTTCATTGCTGGACAGCAAATACAAGGAGTTAGTTACCACATTCCAAAAGACGCGCAGTAAAATGCACAAGCGAGACAAATACTCTTCTTGTAACACTTTGCGATTTGTGCTCACTAGTAGCAGTTCAGCTGCTACCAAGCCACTTGCCTGCTGGCTGTCCTGTGGAAGGTGAATATGCAGTTAGCAAATCTGGTTCACCCCTAGGTGTCTTAAGTTGGAGACTATTCTGATCAGACGTTGATTCTCCCAAGAGACTTGCTGAAATATATCAAACTCCTTCTCCACTCGCAGCACTGCAGTCTGAACTTCGTCATGCTCTGCAGAGCCCAGGATGAGGGTTGTGCCCAGGCATCACACTAGAGTGGTAGATAGCGTAGTCCAAATTAAGGCGTGTGTCATGGAATTTATCTCCCATCCCGTTGCTTTGGGCTGCAAACTTTTTCTTAATTAAAAACAACCCCTCTCTCTTCCCCATGTTCAAACCATAGCTACATCCTGCCAAGAGCCCTGCAGCCAAGAGGGCTGACAGTCTCCTGAGACCACAACGCTGCTCTATACCAGCTTCTAAGGAGCACTTGTGAACAATGCAGCATACACTCTGCCCCTAGGAGCTAGGAGCATCACCTCCGTGGCGCCACCAACCCTTGCCGGTTCGATCTGAGAGCTTAAAGGTTAGCCTGGAACCCAGGTCTCCTGTCTGACAGTGTGATGTGCTATCCACACAACTACCAGACTGGCCCACTGGTCTGTTGTGTAATAGTTTTGTGGAGAAAACCATAAGTGTTATGCTTAAGCAATAAGTCACTTAAACATAATGAGCTGTTTTATGACGAAAAATTTGCTGAGTTCTTCTGTGTCACTGAATTCTTTTAACTGCAGTTTGTAATCCAGAGCAGAAAAAGAAATGTTTTGGGTTTGCTTGTAAGATTTGACTGAACTGTCTTTTTCCCGTTCTTGTGTGTTCAGATCCAAGGTGCTATTATCATGTCCTCCTTGATAGAAGTGGTGATTGGTTTGCTTGGCCTTCCCGGCGCCCTGTTGCGATACATCGGACCTCTCACCATCACACCAACTGTTGCTCTCATCGGCCTGTCTGGTTTCCAAGCTGCTGGAGAAAGAGCAGGCAAACACTGGGGTATCGCTATGTTGTAAGTACTCCTGGGTGTTCTTGGCTTAGGCCAGGGGTCCCGGTTGGTAAGTCATCGTGCAGGAATTTTGGCGCGCCAGGGAAAAGCCAGTCTGCTCGGCTGCCAGAGGTAGCATTGCAGTGCTCCCAGCGTGGAGAAGTACCGTGTGCAGGAACGTCGGTGGGTCCAGATAGGGTCAGCTGGCAATTTGGGATTAAGGACAGCAGCAACTCATGGAGGAAGAAGGGGACAACGGCTGAAAGTGAGGTGTGCAGAACAGAGAATTTTATAAAACAGTAGTTGGCGTGGGAGCCCTGAGCTGGATCTAATTTGGTGCTATAGAAAAGATGGTGTAGCAAAACACCAGAGAGATGAGTGAACAATTTGTATTTCTATTTTTATGGTGCTATTGCGTATGTTTATTACTCTGCCAAAGCAAGCAAATACAATTGGTAGTAGTGGTCCATTTGTCATTATTACTGGTTTGCCTACCTATTGCCAAGAGCATATATATTTCCATGAATGCCATCAGTCGATGAGGCATAACTAGACAGATTTCTGTTTAGTAGACAAAAAGGCTTTTAGAGTGAATTTTGGGGCATGATGTGTGTATATCTGTAGGTATAGATGCCAGGGAAATTAAAGAAATTAGATTGGTGGTGTGAAAGGGAGTAACTGAGAAAAACGAGATGAAGACAAAAGCTTCCTGTGAGATGCTGTGGATAACTAGCCAAATAAGGATGGAAACCACATTTTAGGGAGAAGGAAATTGGCTGAAGCTGTTGCTATATTCAGTGTATAGCGACTAACTTTGTGCTGGCTCTGGAAGCGGAGGGAATGACTTGATGAGATCAGATTCGGATCTGACTAATCTGTTTGCACAGTGCTTTGAACATGTAAAGTATTCTGTAAGTGCAGCTTATGATTAAAGGGGCTGTTTAATTCTCTTTTATCTTGGATGTTAGCATCATGAATATTTTTGTAATTCTGTTATGTTAAGCAGCTGACCCAAAGGAACATTTTATTTTCCTGTAAAACAAATTCTGTGCAAGCTGGGACTAATGTAAGTCAATCAAGCAGACCTTTGGTGAATTGGACATGGAAACGTGTAATTAAAGTTGACATTTTGCAGATGGAAAAAAATAAATCAATTTAGGAACAGGATTTAAATATTACCCAGTCAATAAGTATTTCTGGCTTCTGCCACGCAAAAACGTACACTAGATTGTTGAAAATGACTCCATAGCTATCTAGAGCCACTCAGAAGTAACTTGATCTCTACAAGATGTGGCACTTGAAATTGTCTTGACTGTTCTGATGAGATAAAAATACTGTATTGCTATCCAGCACAGCAGAATACCCGTGTGAGAGCTATTGCGCTCTGTCAGCTGCAGATGCTATTTGACAAGATTTTCAGTTTCACAAACAGTTTTCTGGCCTTACTTGTTCTGCAGGTGCCAGGCTGAAAGAATTTAAGCCGTAAAACACATCGCATCATAGAATTGTTTAGGTTGGAAAAGACCTGATCTGTAAAAAGGGAAATTATTCCTGAATTTGTCTTTGTCTGTACAGCTGGTGAACAAAACTGTTTCTCTGGGCAATCAAAGATTTGTTAATGTTTTATAGAATGGCAGTAAGCCCCCCTGCCTTGTAGCCAATATAATACTATGCCTAGTTTGTAGACAAGCAAACTGAGGAACTCTTCTTGATGGTTTCAGTGAATTGGTTTAAGAGGGTTTTTAATCTTTTCTCTCTCACCTGCTTTAGCCTCTGTCATGCCATGCAATGCATGTATCCTCCTCGACGTTATTTACAACTCTGCACTAAATAAATCAAAATACAAAGCCACCTGTCCTCAGGGCTAGCGTGGCATGATAGCTGCTGTTAGGGAGTGGAGCCCATCTTTCCATAATGGACTTTGGGAGAGATGCCAAAACGTTTCCTGAATTGCGAGGAAAAGGTGCCTTTATCACTCGACTCTCTTCAGGGGTAAAGGCTATAAATGACACCCTTCTTGTGCAGAGCTCTTTGTTCCTGGAGCTTGAGGGAGAATAAAGCTCTGTTTTGTTTCTTACAGACTGAAACGAATCTATGACAGAAAAGGGAGAGAAGCTTAAAATCCACCTTTTTTTTTTTTTTTTTAAGTCAGTTTATAAAAATATAATCTCAAATTTCAGAAAAGCTTTGCTTCTTCAGACAGCTTGACTCTTTGTGTATCCTTTTTAGAGCAAAACTGGTTTTGGCTATTGCAGAATTGAGCAACCTGACCTGGCTTTTCATTTTTCACTGCATGGACACTTATTTTAGCTGTAGAGTTGAATTAATTTTCAACATATAGAGGAGCTTAGCAGTTTTGACGAGGAGGGAAAATGCATAAACTTGAGGCATCTAAAAATTACAATAAACTGTGTTACTGATGAACTGTAGTTGAATGGAATCTTGGGGTTCGGGGCTCTATTCTGCTTGATTTACAGCTGTTTAGGGAAAGCTGCATATGCAAAAAAAAATGGTTCTTAAGAATTGGAGAAAGCATTTTCTTTGACACAAGTTTTTTCAAGTGCTTTGATGTTTTATGCAGATTTTGGAACGTAAAAATTACTGTATAGTGGCCTCCAGTTTTCCTGTTTCTTCCCATGTGCTAGCAGCAACCTTTGTGCTTCATATGCAGAGCAGACCTGAACATGCAGATACAGTTTAAGTCGACAAGAAGCAAGCAGCACAGCGTAGCTCTTCAGGAACGGCTGCTTAGCTCCGAAGATCTTTCCTCTAGTCTGATTTGTTTTCCTGGTTTCATGTGCCTGTTTGCTGCTGGCTGTTGTCGCAGCACTTTAGAATACAAATTACATTGTTTTGGCTTTCACAGAATAATATTTAGTTAAAATATATTCTCTTATGATGCCTTGTCTTGCACTAGATTTAAAATGTACAGTTATATTTTGTGTCTGAAGATCCTCAACAGGTTTGTTCTTAGAAGGATTTTTGATATATTGGTGCTAATGACATGTTTCTCTTGTCCCACCCTCCTCCCCCTTTTTTCTCAGGACTATTTTCCTAGTATTGTTGTTTTCTCAGTATGCCAGAAATGTCAAATTTCCTTTACCTATTTACAAATCCAAGAAAGGATGGACAGCATACAGGCTGCAGCTTTTCAAGATGTTCCCTGTAAGTAGTTGAACTTGTTAGTCAGTTGGCAAAAAAAAACCTAATTTGTGTTTTGGGGTTTTTTTTTTTCTTGGTTTTGACTTTTCTTAATAATAAAATAGATCACAAAGGTGAGATAAAAGCTTAAATGGGCTTATGGGAAACTTAACTAAGTGGCTCACTTGCCACAAGAAATAGTCTCATATTATAGTCTTGCCAGATCCCATTCTGGTGTCCAAATCTGAAGAAGAGTCATTGGAGTTATGTCGGGGAGGGAAGCGGGTAGAGAAGAAGGTATATTTATGCACACAGTGAAAGCTTAAACTGAGCCCTCCAAAAAGGGATGACGAGATCATTATCTTTGAGTTTCATGAAAGCAATACTCCGTTCGCCCGTGTGAAAGACTTCTTTTTATTTCTCTGGTAAGGTTGAGACTAATTCACTAGTTTGTTTAAGTGCCCGTTTGGCGGCCTTCCCATTTGCTGGGGAGCTTGCTCTAATTCTAAAGCTTTTGCAACAGCACCTTCGTTAGGGACCGGGGGGAAACACCTAACGGATCTATTACAGGATTTACTGCTTGTTCAGACTTAAAATATCACTTAAGATCACACTCAGATACGTGTGTAATAGGTATTCTGTGCAGGAGCTGTTTGCTGTTGATGAATCTTGCCAATGATAGTTTATTTTAAACAGCTTTTTTTCCTCCTCTTTCACAGATTATTTTAGCTATTTTGGTGTCATGGTTGCTTTGCTTCATCTTCACTGTGACAGACGTCTTTCCCCCTGACAGTTCCAAGTACGGCTTCTACGCTCGCACAGACGCACGACGAGGAGTGCTGTTGGTGGCTCCATGGTTCAAGGTTCCTTATCCTTGTAAGTATGTCTGGTTTTAAGGGCTGTTTTTCTAATAATATGCCTGTGAGTATAATTTCTGTTGTTTTCAGAAGCGTTGCTATTATTTTCCTCGGTACTATATTCTGATGTGCTTCGACATGCACTGACCTAAAGATGTTGTAGGTGGGGATGATGTTTTTTTCTTGTTTTCCTCTTTAATTTGATACCTTAAGGTCTCACCCAAGACAGACAGAGTCTCTGAAACTTAAGTTTGCAGAAAGCATTTGCAGGGTTTATCTAGGTAACTCTTGACTTCTAATAACATAGTGTGACTGTATATATAACATGGATTTTCAGGAAATGGTTGATTTATCTGTGCTTGCCAATACTGGCCAGCTGCTGTTAATGTTATACAATAAAAAGGATGGGTTATTACAACTCCTGTAGAGCTGCTGAAGTCACTGATTCTCGTTGTCTTAAGAATCCATAGTTTGTGGAGTTTTTTCCAGCTTAAATCTAATTCCCTGCCCCAAACACACCCATTCTTGAATTAGCACAACTGTTAACAGCTACACAAAAATGTCCTGAGTTGCAGAAGTGACATTGGAATTGGGACGGTGGGCAAGTCGGAGAATGCCAGTCAATGGACAAAAAAGTATTACAAGAGAACACGAAACGCTTTACATGACATCTTGGATGCTTGTATTCTGCTAGCCACCTCTCAGTTTAAAGCTGTTAAAGTCTGTTTCTAAAGGCATGAGCTAGATTTGCACAACTGGTTCACCCCTGTGCTGCTCAGGAATTAATGGGGCAATAATAGAATATTGTTCTACTAGAATAGAATAATAGAAATTGTTGGGAATACCACTACATTGTAATGAGACAGCTTCGTTGTGATTTTCCATATGCTTTGGTTCTAATTTCGTTCTTAAAAGCAAAGACTTCTAATGCAGTATTTCCAAGATGTATAATAGAAGCTTTTGGGAGAGAAGAGGAGGAAACTTCTTCACTCTGATCAGACCTTTCTTATTTGTGAAGCCTTGTTCATTCACATTCGTGTGACTTCAAGTTCCTTTTGTTGCAGGAGGCTCATCTATTTCAAAGAGATAAAAGCATCAAGGCAACCTGCCAAGCTTTTCTACAGGCTTAAATTAATCTTATTTTCTCTTCTACAGAAATTTGGAGTTGGAGGGTGTTTATGCAATGATCGTAGCTGGTTGTTGGCTATTCTCTTCGGTAGACTAAACTTGTAACCAAAGACTGGGTTTCAGAGCAATAATAATTAAGTGGCATTCACCTCACTGATCAAAATTGGTTTTTCACAAGTGGTAGTTCAAATTCCTTCCTCCTGAACAGGAGGAATTTTTTTGTGGGGTTTAGGGTGGTTTGGTTTTTTTCCAAGCATGATCAAAGCAGTTGGTTACGTGGTTTTTCCTTTGCTCCTTTCATCTACTTGAACTTGCCAGTCTGTGTTACCATGAAGGGAGTTTGTTGATTCCATTAAAGATGAATAAATTGCTGTATGTTTTGATATCTAAATTGTTTTCTGTGGCACGAGAGATTTCAGTTTTCTTTTCTTCACAGTTCAGTGGGGACTGCCAACAATTTCTGCTGCTGGAGTAATAGGAATGCTTAGCGCAGTTGTTGCTAGCATTATTGAATCAATAGGAGATTACTATGCCTGTGCCAGGTTGTCTTGTGCTCCTCCTCCACCTATTCATGCAATAAACAGGTATGTAAAAAAAAATATTTTTCAGTGTCTTAAGTTTTTTTTTTTTTTTCCCTTGGGATAAGACAGGAATGTGCTCTGAGATTAAACGTTACATTTTGGTCAAACACAAGGGCCAAGGATCTGAAATACTAGATGCAACTGTCATGTTGAATTATTTTGTTGCAAATGTGGCATTGGAAACCTAGTTCTGTTCCTGCTGGAATCCGTGGAAGTTAATAGTCCAGTTTCCATAAGGACAGAGCTCTAAATCAGTTCTGGAATTGGGGTAGCTTGTCAAATTCACCTGAAACGCAGTTTTAGAAATAAAGAGTAGCTCTAAATTTGTCTTGCATTATTTTGTAATTTCCTCAGTTTAAGAACCTGGGTATGTAAGACATAGAAAACAGAACTCAAGTTGGTTTTCCAGGTGTGTTGGAGCTTGAAACGTGAACTTTAATAATTCGTGTGGGACAGATGCCTTAAAAGGCACCCACATTGCATGCAGTCTTAAAGCACCATCTGAAGTGAGTCTAACGCTAATACAAAGTTTGACTCTTTTTCTGTTTGTGATTTACAGGGGGATTTTTATTGAAGGTCTCTCCTGTGTTCTGGATGGAGTATTTGGGACAGGGAATGGATCCACTTCTTCCAGCCCTAACATTGGTGTCTTGGGCATCACGAAGGTACGTGCTTTTACCTTGATTACTTGGTGACTTGAGTATTTTATCTCCTCTGGTGGATGGCTTATGCCATTTTCAGGTTTCACAGCATGATCCTCTTTCAAGAAACCATACTACTTAGTACTTCGTGCAGACAAACTTTACACAGCGTTCTGAATTTACATAACTTGTTTGTACTAACCATTGTCTAATGGAAGTGTGTTATAGATAAGGACCCCAAAAATCTGACTTTTATTTGGAGTAAAGGGCAGTTAGAAAATCTGCATAAAGTAGATGATGCTAAATATCTATCCCTTTGAAAACCAAGAAGGCATTCCAGGGCTCTAGGGTGTTTTATGTTGAGGCATAAGCATTGCAAACTGTATCGAAATCATCTTGGCTCTGAAAGCATCTCTAGAGAACTGACTATTTCTAATGTCTCACTTGAACACACAATGAAATGCAGCTTGAGGTCCTTGGGTCTTACCTCTGACCGTACTAGGGCATTACACTGACACAGCTAGAACAGGAGCTGCAGTCAAGGTAACTTCAGAGTGAAATGTACCCTCAATAGTTGTTTCTGTCATGATGGGTTTTTAAAGCACTGACCATACTTAGGGGATTACATACTTTTTGGGGTGTCACTCAGCAAAATATATAAGCTCTTGAGTAATTCCGTTGTTCACATGCGGAACTGGATGTTGTGCTTGAATGCCTTGCTGAACTGGGAGACCTTGGACTGCAGATAGATTTGCTTGATATTGTTAATTTAACCTTGTTAAGAAATATCAACAAAATTGGTAAGAGTAATTTATGTTGTAAATATGTACATCATGTTGTGTATTTTGCTTGGAAGCTACAAATCTCCCTCATGCATAGAAAATAGAAAATGTGTGCTCCCCACTTACGGTAACTCATCCCTCTGACTTAATCCGATATAGATGGTGAATTTATCTTCAGCCATTTTTTTTCTGCACAAAGGATGATTCTGTTCAGTTTTAGGGTGGAATATAAATACTAATAGCACCATCTGCTGTCTGTATAAGTCTTCCATTCAGTTGCTGATGGAAATTTCCTAGAAGAAATTTTGATTAGCAAAATCCTCAAAGAAGGGCTTTATTCTGTTCTGCTCCCTTTCTGTTGTTCCTTCATAGGAGTTGATATGAATTAACAGCACATTTTTATTAACAGCCCACAGAAATGAGTGTATGTTTTGCTTTGGAACAGTGAAAAATGAATGTTAAACTGGCAGCTGTTACAGAGAACAGAGTTAACTACAATTAGGTCTGTTCAGAGTGCGTGATGGAAGAGTGAATGTCCCTTACCCAGAATGGCACAGCTGGATGGCTGTGCTCCAGTGTTCTGTCTTGTTTTCCTGTCTGCATACTCATTCTGAAAAACCTTGCAGTTTATCAACTTCAATTTATATCAAAATAGATTTTTGGCCTGTAGATACACTGCTGTTCATTTGGGAGAGGAAATCTTCAGTGCTCGTGAGCAAAGACCATATAGTCCTGGTGTTCCCATTATACCAGTGCAATGTTTGAAAAGGCATTTAGCTCCTTAGAAATCAGTGTGTGATTATGCTTAGAATTTAAATTTGAGGCTTCAACTGGATATAAATATTGGAAAGTCTTTGAGCTAGTGTGTGAGCGAGTTTTATTTGATGAGAGAATCAATTATATCTGATGAGTCGGGGCAAAAGTATAGGCAAGCTTATGCCGTAGCGTTGATGATGAAATGGATACTCCAGTACTGTACTAGATAGCATGTCATGCACTCCAAAATAATCACATAAAGTGTGTGTACGAGTGCCTGGGAATAAATAGATAGTTTGAGCTAAATGCTGACCACGATGCTTTCAGTAGCTTTGAAAAGGAGCTTAATTTGTTTGCCTTGTAGTGATTGAGCATTTGCATAAGTAAATGTTGCTATCGTGTGGATTTTTTAAAGAATCTGCTTATTCCATGCAGGGGGAGAATTGTAGAGCAAGATATTGGTGGTCCTAAGGAAATGAATATCTTTATAAAAAGTAGAGACGGGTGCAAGCTAACTTCTGCTGTTGTTCTAGTGAGTGCCCAAATTTACTGGTCTAGCTTCTGGTTGTAGTGAAGACCTCTCATCTCTGACAGTTAAGCAGTGAAGAATATGGGGGAAGGAAGTACTTTTACCCTAAACATGCCTACTGTATCTTTTTTTTTTCCTCATTTCACTCATTTAGCTCAGCCACACATGATTAACAAATTAGTATCTACTTCTCTTTGAAGCTTAACACTTCGTAACAGGAGACCTGCAAAGGACTTTTCTAGAAACCACCTTTCGAGCGTAACAGCGGGGGTTTTTGTCCCTGGTGCGCCTCTTATGCAAGTATAACACTGTTAAAATATCGACCATTTAGGTTTATGAACCACCACTACAACATAGTGCCAGAGAAATACTGCCCAAAGTTTGAATGCTTAAAATAAAAATGGGAAGGAAGTGTAGGCACTTGGTTTCACAGTGTTAGCACAGCCATGATTTGCATATGAAGTGAATTCAGTTCTGATCTCAAAGAGGGATGTTCCAAAATCAGTTGATAATCTCTGGTTAGAAAGCCTGCATTGACTTCAAGTGAACTGTGTGGTAGGTAACTAACACGCATAATGTTATGTAAAAGGGTTTTATTTTTTTCCACGTTTGCCATCTCTCCTAGTTATGGTCTATTTGTTTTCTTTATTGTAGATGGGACTGCACCACATTTCATGGTTATTGTGGCTATCGTGGTTACAGATGGTTTTAAAGATGACTTAATGTTAACGAAAAGAAAATCAAAGGAAATTATGTTAGAATGGGAGTGCAGCCATGTTACAGCTGAACCCTCCAAGACATTTGTAAAGGCTTTGCAGCCTGTGTTTTAACACTGCGAAAAATATAGGCGTGGAAACTTGAAAAGAAGTTTTAAATGCAAAAGAGAATGATAAAATAAAATGCAAGGTGTGAAGCTGGATTAAGTGCATAGTTTTTCCAGTGTCCTTTCCTTTTTGTTCTCCTGCAGGTTGGAAGTCGCAGGGTTATTCAGTATGGGGCGGCCTTCATGCTCCTGCTTGGGATGGTCGGCAAGTTCAGCGCTCTCTTTGCGTCACTGCCTGACCCTGTGCTTGGTGCCCTCTTCTGCACTCTCTTTGGTAACGTATGTTTTTTTGCTCCTCTTGGTGTACTGTGTGGCTATATCTTTTTACTCTAGTGCTGTGTTTATACGTATGTTGCTATCTTTTTTTTGAAGGAAAAGACTCTATAAAAGCTGAGACTTGTTTTATTTTTATTTAGGGATGATTACAGCTGTGGGTCTGTCTAACCTCCAGTTCATAGATTTAAATTCTTCTCGTAACCTGTTTGTACTTGGATTTTCCATTTTCTTTGGACTTGTTCTCCCAAGCTATCTCAAACAAAATCCACTGGTCACAGGTATGTGTTTCTGCTCATTTACATGAAGCATACTTTCACCTTGTACCCATATGCAAAGTACCTGCAAGTACAAAGTAATGTAAAGGATAAATAAGAGAAGAAATAAAGTATTATGGAGTTAATAAAAGCTATAGGTAAGAAGGCAGGTTTGTTCAGGGGAGAATTAATTGAGATGTTGAGACCTGAATTGCATGTTTCAGTGGGACACATCTGAAGTGGTCCTGCTTTGGGTACGATTGTAGAGCAATGGAAGGAGGTGATTGCCAGTTGGACTGGAAAAAAGACTAAAAGGGGGAACCTGAGTTGTAAATTATGTTAAAATAACAAGGGGAAATACCAAGGTAGAGCTTGCAAGCTAGCAATTTGTTCAGGGTTTTGAAATTTTTTGTCACTGCGGACATGTGTTCTGAATCTGAATTTTAATTAACTCTGTTTCAGGCTGTTAGCCAAATTACAGTTTCGGTGAATTCATGGGGAAGATTTTCTATTTTAATCCTGTCTTTTCAATAGTGGTCATGACAGCGTATGTCATCAAAGGAAAGCTCTCTACAGGAATACTTAACTTGATTTTTTTTTTTCTTCTTTTCTTTAAATGAAAGATTAGCTTTTTATAGCTATTGCTTCAGAACCAGATTTAAGAACATACCTAACCTACTTTAAGTTGTTCAGAAAAGTAGATCATTCAAACAGAGTTAGGTGATGATGTATTAACACAATGTTCTTCTGTGAACTGGTGCTATGAAGTCTTGCCCTTTTAAAAAGTCAAGGTTTATAAAAGGAATATTTCAGTCCATGTGATTTTTACATTATGAACATTTCTCCTTTTCTGTTTTGTGAACTGGTGCTATGAAGTCTTGCCCTTTTTAAAAGTCAAGGTTTATAAAAGGAATATTTCGGTCCATGTGATTTTTAAATTATGAACATTTCTCCTTTTCTGTTCTGTAGTTTTCTATTCGGTTTAAATTAAGCAG